GATAAAAAGACTACTTACAAAAGAGATCAGTATATAATTTATACTCTGTTTAAATCCTCCATATATACTTTCAATATAAGCAAACTTTGGAATGTTGTTTTATTATTCATATAAACACAGTTAAGCAATTCTTTTTATATTTCTATCACAACATAATTGTCTTTCATTTGTTTTCTACAGTGACTCTTTAAAATGATTTTTTATAAAATTTGTTACGATTTAGTCAAGTAATATATTCACAAAGCTGGGCAAAGTTTTTCCAGTCGATATTTTAATTTACACTCTCGCTCTTTACATATTATTCAATGGCTCCTCTAGTCAATAATTGACTCCGTCATCTTGCTCGAAGCATTGCTGCCAACATGAGCTTTTTTTCAATATTTTTTAGTGGTAATCCGAACCATCTGGTCTGGATACTGGCGTGAATAAATTGGGCCCTCACTTCAAATTTTTGATAAAACTTTCACAAATTGATTGACTTTACACAATGGAAAATCACAACACAAAAAGAAGCGATAGCACATGGCATCCGCGTACCTTCTTTGTATATGGAGGTTATCGGCACGTTCGACCACTAGCGGTATTTTTTTTTTATTTATCCGTATCATAATTTGGTAAATGCAATTTATATGTATGGGAATACAAATTGAGTAGTCCTTTCGATGTGTAAAATACACTTAGGACGCGAGCGTTCATAGAAACAGAAAATTCTATGGGAATACAAATTGAGTAATTCTTTCGATGTGTATAATACACTTAGGACGCGAGCGTTCATAGAAACAGAAAATTCTATGGAAATACAAATTGAGTAATCCTTTCGATGTGTATAATACACTTAGGACGCGAGCGTTCATAGAAACAAAAATTTACTAGTGAGGGCGTTATATTATTCGAAAATTGCGATGATAAAGTAAATCGACAGAAACGTGAAATGAGATTTTCGTATAATTTCACTAGAATAATGAAGTAAATTTCGAAAATGCAATGAATATATAAAAAATGGGTATTTATTTAGCAAAATTCCAAAATACTAGGTACTAACTTAGAAATGAGTGTGACAGTTTTGCCTTAAACTGTCTCTTGCAGTGGTCTACGGAAATTATACTAAACAGATGAGAAAAAATGATGATAAAATATATTGAATCACAACCTGACAGAAAAACAAGGAAAACTAACTATGGAATAACTTCAGCTCATTAAAAAATAACAAATTCTAGTTTACAGCAAAATCCCAGTTTTTATTTCCTTTTTTTCTCCAGCAACAGTTCTCTTTCGTAAAGTAAGGGAATTCGAAGATAATAAAATTCAATCAGTCAAACGGTTCTGGTCGAATACAAAAATTATAAAATGATAATAAACCTACTCCTTACTGTTTTTTGGGTATATAAACTTTCACAATCTGAAAAATGAACGAAGCTAAATAAAAATGAACGGTAAGAAGTATTGAGTTCTACACAAAAAACTGTCTTTCAAATAATATTCAATAAACCTAGTTCTATGTTTTGTACTGGGACCTATACCTATAATTTCAACTACCATCATCAAAACCGTCTCAATTCACTAGAAATTAATAGTTTCATGTCCTGAAGACCTTTACTATTAGTTTTTCTTCGATATACTCACTTGTTCTTGGATTTACTTTTATTATTCTTCCAGTGATCCAACATCCAATTATAAAAATCAACTGTGGAGAAACCGGGTTTGTCTGGTATCACCTTATAAACTTATTACTAGAATAGAAAATACTAGAAAATCAGCTTCAGGTAGACACTATATAAACATACTTCTCAAAGGCCTTCGACAAGTTGGACCCCACCATAGTCATTTCCAAACTCAAATAGACTGGTTTCAATTCAAATCTGCTGAAATTCTTTTATTCCTATCTCATGAATCGGCCCCAGTTTGTTGAAAACAGGGGACACAAATCTGATGAATAAACCAGTGGCCCTTGCGATGAAGGGTCGAATAGACCCTTCATGAATGTATTGCTATTATATGTATATATTTCCTATTCAACACTTTCATCCTGTTTGTACAATACAAGTTTTTTTTACAACACAGGATTTGTCAAGTCATTGAGACGCCTGAAGATGCCATAAACACCCGAAACAGCAGACACTCTGAAATTCACTGTGCCAACTAAAAACATTACCAGAGACTCCATATTTTACAACGGTGGAAAAATGTACAATCATTTGTCTATGGGAATGACCTCCAATTCAGGAAGTTAGTCAAACAATTTCTATCTGATAGACTCTATTATACTTTGGATGAATATTACTGACTTATTACGCATATTTTTTATCCTTACTTATTAAAGAGCTCCTAAGTTGTTACTTTTTATGTCTACTCTCTTATAAACTTGACTTTCACTCTTTTAAATATACATATATTTATATCCTATATTTTGTACCCATGCACCATTTTTATTTCAATTTCATTTGGTATGTATTGCATTTTTTTTAAGTATTTACTACCCAAGATTTTTCTACAACACTGTCTTATGATAATAAAGCATATTATTATTATTGTGTAGCGAAACACGTGTCACAGTTTTGTAAACTTTCAAGTGGCAAACTCACAATGAAGTGTGTTTTTTATGAATATGTTACAATGGATTCGTCTTCACACATTATAGTTTTGTACCATTCCTGTGTATATTTTTCAATTTCACAATATAATATAGACCATTTTGAAAGATAGTTTGTATTAGAGAGAAACTTCTATACTTCACATACACACCTTTGTGAAATCTTTATTGGAGAAGTTGAGCTCAAAAATGTCTTTCCCAACTAGATGCCACGAGAAAACAGATTTCATGAAATTGTAGGCATTTGATGGTGGTTGACAATGTATCGTGGTGTATTTCATCAGTTCGGACTTCATTGTCTAATATAATATTAATTGATTTGAAAACCCTGAAATGTTCTCATCATATTTTTGCCAACGTTAGTGAAAACCTCAGTGTTGACCATCAACCTATTCTTTTGAGAGATCCTCAAATTTGTTATGAATTACATGAATTTTCGGCTGCGAAAATTTCAAATAAAGAAAGTGAATAATAAATAACACTAAAATACATGAGTAGATCATTTCTGAATTTTATTTCATGTTTAAATACAAGTTACAGTTGAAAATCTGCAAATCAAACATACATTCCACAAGAAACAAATTTCTCAAGTTTTCACTTGACTGTTCCAAGAAAATAAAAATGTATTACAAAAATCAGTGGTTCCGTTACAAAAATATGTACAGAATGCAAAATCAAGTATTTTATTCGAACAATAAAAAACCGAACAGACCTCAAAATAACATATTTCAATATATCTGTAAGACGTTCCCTACCAACCTCCATGGTACAACAATTTTACAAGTACATTAGATTGTGTTATTCCCAGATCCAAACTTAAAATTAAAAATAAAGGCAAATCATTCGTTTCAACAGCACTCGCTAGTCAGTTTTGAAAAACTTTCATTCAGACCAAAGTACTTTTAATATAATAATTACAAATTTTCATTTTGCTGATCGTGAAACTAAAGTAAAAATTTGGCGCGTCCACTTATTTTCAGAGACAATTCATATCGAGTCAAAACTGTTGAAAAATGGACCACTTCAGGAACACTTTTAGTGACTGTAACTCATGATTCGACACCTACTTTAACGATCGCTTGCTACGGACTTTTCCATTTAAAATATTTTTGAAAGTAAGTTCCAAATGTTACCATCACTTCAGTTGAGTAGTCTCTATATGTCTTGAGGTGAATTTATTTACATTTGATCAGCAAGTAGCACGTAACAGTTACGAGTTGAACTCGTCACTTTCCAATGAACACATTTACACAGAAAAACCTACTATTATCAAGTAACAAGTTACGAGAAGAAGTTGACCACCTTTTCAACTTTCTCACTTTAATTGTAACAGATTATTCAGTTCTAGTTACATAAAAAAATCTAGTTGATTCCAGCATTGGTTAGGTTAGATTTTTTTATAATATCCACCAACAGAAATAATAAAAAAATCCACTGTAAAAGTGGCATTGGATTTCACAAACTGTGTAGTATAACAGTGTTTGTTGACTTATTAGTTCCTGAAATATAACGTAGTGCCAAGTTTTAATTTCAGAGTCGTGCTCACTGGATAACAATACACAGGTCCAATTAAAAACTAATGCGAGCCATTGAAACAAACATCTACCAAATTAAACACAGTTCATTAACTTACAGTCTACTTCTACGCTAGTACTTAGTCTCTACGCCTTGGCGGCCCGGAATTTGGTGATCTTGAGCGGTACCTATCATCGAATCTTCCTCCGCCGCCTCCTCTGCGACCTCCAAAACTGTCTCTGTTGAAGGAATCGCTTCTTCTGTCGAAGTCTCGCCCTCCGAATCTGCCACCTCCGTCACGTCTGTCGTAGCTCGACCTTCCGCCACGGCCACCTCCATAACCACCGCCGCCGCCTCCATAGCCACGGCTGCTGCCTCCTCTGTACCCTCCACCGCCACCTCTGCCGCCGCCGCCACGAGGTCCGCCCCTACGGGACCTGCCCCTGGCGATCTCTACTCTCAGTTTTGAGCCCAGGAAATCGGTGCCGTTCATGTTATCGCAAGCAGTTTCTGCGTCCGTTAAGCTGTTGAATTCGATGAAAGCAAAGCCTGGGGGGTTGAAAGCCACCCACACGGAGTTCAGTTTTCCGTACTTCTCGAATTCTCCTTCGAGGTCTTCTTTCTTGACGGAGTCGCTCAGGCCCCCGACGTACACGCGTGCCCCTCTGTCTCTGGAGCGGTCACCCATGGTTCTGTGGAACGTAGAATTTCGTAGAAAATTGAAAAATACACATCAGTCGTTTGGGCGAATACGTACAAGTTGTTTTGGATAAAGGGTAAAGGTAAATGTGTGATAATGTTTCAATTTCTTAAGCATGGCAATAGTATTCAACGAAAATGCGGAGAAACAACTTCCCATATTGCCACGCAACATTTATTATTTGAAGCAATTCGAAAATTCAAAATGTCGGTGCACAGCAGAGCGTCGATTTTTATGGAAATGTAAGGTTGATAGAATACTATATTCGCAGCCAAAACGGTGATTGGAATAATAAATACTAATTACGAAGGATTCGTAGATCGAAGAGCAAGTTTACATGTAGTTACCCAAGTTCGATGCGTAGATTCGTCGAAACGTAGATGTTTATTTGGTCACACTAATTCAAGGTTGTTTGCACTAGACGATGAACACGGAACCAAGAGAATGAAAATGAGGCAGCTGAAGAGGATGTGAGAATAAGTGGGGGGGGGCATCAGTGTTGCCACCCACTTAGAATATATTTTCATTATTCCTTCAACCCCGTATTCGAATACGTAATCCATATTAGGAAGTATACTATTATTTACATAATCAAAAATAGTATTCATTGTCAAAATATCATTAAAAACGCTATTGTTTCTGAACCATACAATGATATTTCACAAAATTCACTATGCAACTGTCACTCCGATATTCACACAATCTGACAACATCCATGTCGTGAGTCTCACAAAATACGTCACAACCGGTCAAATCACGATTGAAATAATTAACAAATTCAGTTTTATTGTTGTCCACTCAAAAATTGAAGTTATTTCAACGCGAGAAAAAAATGACTCTAATATATATTATGATTCAGGCATGAATAGCATTGAGAATTATTATTGATCTGTTGATTTTATTTTGACTAGGCTTGGCTTGTGGTAGATTTTAAAACGAGGGAATTATGCAGATTGGTCATTCGTTGTTGCCAAATTGCAAACACTTTGGCAATGTTTCTGTGAAAAAAAATTCAATCAATAATTTGGATTATTCATTTCGTGTAAGTATCTCAAGGTCTATTTCGAAATTGTTTTTATATGAAAGTTACAGTGAAAAAGTATGCAAGCGCTCCACTATCAAAGAAAAAAGTAAGAGTTTAAGTCAGTATAAGAAAATAAATATATCCAAATAAAATCTCGAAATATTCAACTATCTATACAGTAGATTCCGGTAAATGTCTGTCGAAAAACAACTACTTCTCCGGTTAATACCACGGTGGATATTGAATCGCGAGACTAACCTTTGTGAGGTAACTTGCATTAATGTTTGTCAATATCAAACATGGTATTAGCCGGGTGAGTAATTGTGTTTCGACAGACATGTACCAGAGCCTATGGTGTAGGTAGTTTGGGACAGATGATCATTTCAAGATTTCATTTTGAAATCTTCTTCAGACGTGGTTTGAACATTTAGAAATCATATAAAAGGATTACCGGTTTATCTGTATTCCTGGAACATTGATGAGTTTCTCAATCTCAAATTTCAGTATTAAATCATATAGTATATTGCATTTTCAAATGTACTTTGTCGTGTGTATGTATTGTTATATTAATGAGTCTCTCCTGAGGATGCAAAATTCATTATAATGAGATATTATGTAGATAAATTGATTAATTACACTGTACTGTAATAAAGCACAAACATTTCAAACAACATTTATTCCTTAAATTATAAAAGTCTATTCCATTCAAGAATTGCTCGTCAGGCTAGCCATGAGCAGCTCCATTTTATGTAAGAAATTCCTTCCTTCCATCTTATCTAGCCTCACGTCTCGGAACTGCCCCCCCAGATGCTCCCACTTCCTCTCCGTCACCAAACGACTAGGGAAAAAGTCTGTTCGAGGAGAGTGGGCTACGGATACTTGTATGCCCGCTTGAGGTTCGCACCTCACAGCTATGATTCTGTCTCCTGTCGGGGAGGACAACAGACACGAGCTGGCGTTACCGAGAGGCTCCACTGCGCCGGTACCTAGAAGGAAAAAGATACAATTTTTATTAGAAAAAACGATAATTTTTCATCAAAAAATCACTAAGACCTAGTAAGTTGTGTGAATGAATATTCCAACAAAAAAGAACATTAACATAGCATAAAAGAATGACAACTCATTTAATCTGAGCAAAAGAGAACATTAACATAGCATAAAAGAATAACAACTCATTTAATCTCAGTATGATCTGATAAAAAGACTACTTACAAAAGAGAACATCAACATAGCATATAATTCCTTAATTTATCTGACAATATCTGATCAAAAAGACTATCAACAATAGAGAATATTAACGTAGCATATAAGACTGGTAACTCTTTATTTTATTTGACGAGCTGAATACTACTAACAGAAGAAAACATTAACATTTCACCTGATAAAAAGACTATCAACAAAAAGAACATTAACTTAATTTATAAGACTGGTGATATTTTATCTGACGATGATCTGATAAAAAGAGAACATTAACATAGCATAAAAGAATGACAACTCATTCAATCCGAGTATGATCTGATAAAAAGACTACTTACACAAGAGAACATTAACATTTCATCTGATAAAAAGTCTACCAACAAAAAAGAACATCAACATAGCATAAAAGAATGACAACTCATTTAATCTGAGCATGATCTGATAAAAAGACTACTTACAAAAGAGAACATCAACATAGCATATAATTCCTTAATTTATCTGACAATATCTGATCAAAAAGACTATCAATAATAGAGAATATTAACGTAGCATATAAGACTGGTAANCCTGCACAACAGAGCTGTAAAACACTATTATAGACAAACATTTGCAAAAACTACAAAATAAATCAACGTGGATCAATAGGAAACTGTTCTACTAGATAGGCTCAAAAGTTCGCAGGCTAACACAGAGATGGCGCTACTAGTATTGAATCCATAAGATTATTAGTTAACCCTAAATTTCAAAAGAAAAGTGCACAGATTTCACAGCTGTTGGACTATTAGTTTGTGGGATAGACCTCCAGCAACTTTTTTGATTTGCTAGCATTGTTTTTTTGTACTCTTAAAAAAAATATTCATTTAACAATACTTCAAACTCTCTCACACACATACCTGCAATCATCCTTTTCTTGGAAGGACCCAAAGGCCCTGTAGCGGGATGAGGAAACGGATGATGAGTATTTTTATGATGAACCTCCCTCAACAACTGATGCAGAGAATGCTCCAGAACATGATCGTGATCGCTCTTGGACAGGGCGGGGTTCTGCTGCTTCTTGTCGCCTGTCGTGGAATGCCTCAACGCTATTATCAACTGGATCCCAGGCAGGACAGTCGCCATTATCTGGTTACCGACTACCATGTGCGGGATGGGGGCCTGTAGTTGGACCGCCTCTTTGGCCAGCTGGTTGAACAGTTCCTTGCAGAAGAGAACGTTTTGGGCGGCTTCTAGTTTCTGTTGCCAGTGCATGTCTGGGTTAGAGGGAGGCGGGCCGGTCCCGAGGAGGTTCAGGTTGACGCTGCAGAGGTCTTCTTGGTCTAGAATATGAGGAGAATCAAACTTCACTCTCGTATCTTGTACATTGATCATTTCAGTAAAATAGTTTTTGCACACCCTCAAACAAATCTACTACTTTATTATTGTTGTAGTTCTGCTTCCCAGGAAAAATACTTCTATACCACCACAAGGCTCAATTCTCGGGCCATCCTTATTGTTGAATGAATAATAACTTTTTTATTTTATTTATTTGAAACGGACAACTCCGCTGAACATTCTGTGCTCAAAGAACTTAAAACTTGAAATTGATTTTATTTAAAGTGCTCCGTAGATTTAAAATTTACTTTGTATATAGCGTTTTGTAAGTTTGAAATTTATTCCATTTGAAGTGCTCTGTAGATTAACAATTGATTTTATGTAGATTTACAAATTGATTTTTTTTTATAGTGACTTGTACATTTACAACTGATTTTGTTTATAGTGCTTTGTAAGTTGTTTGTTTATAGTTCATCATAAGTTTACAATTAAATATATTTATAGTGACTTGTACATTAGGAACTAATTTTGTTTATGGTATATTGTGAGTTGTTTCTTTATAGCCCATAGAGAGTTTACAGTTAATGATTTATATAGCGCTTTGTACCTTTAAATTTATTTTAATCATCATGACACATATGGTTACAATGAATTTTGTTCATTGCGACTGGAAAGTTTACAATTCTTTATAGTGATATGTTTGTTTGAAACGGAGTATCAAGCAAGTAGATCGTAAAATTCAGTCTATAATTATATATGATCTACTCACCTTTTTGGCAAAGCACCTCAATGTATGCAACACCTTGCAATTCGGTCGGTATTGAAACTCTAAGAGCGCTGTTAGCCTTGGGTGGGGCAGGTCCACCTGGTAAAGGACTACTTGGTGGACTATTGACCTTTTCTTCGTCTTCAGCTTTTGTTACTTCAAACGTACCAGTTTGCAGATACTTGGAACCCGTCGTTCTATAGCTGAGATCTCCAATGATCGTGTTGGATACCTTCTTCAATCGCCAATTCTGCCTCAGCCTCAAGAGTTCTATGTGGAAGTCTAGAGTTGTTCGATTTCTGGCAGCTTCTGTTTGGGAAGTCTTCATTTTTTCTGCCCCGGCAAGAAGTACGCTAGCCGCTCCTATTACAATGATCAAACAATTTGAAATTGATTACATACTGACGTAACGTGTCTGAAGACTGTATCACAATAACGTGATTTGCTTTTTGTCAAATATGTAAAGATTCAGGACGTAGATATTTTTCATATCATCCTATACTGTAGAGTTCTCTGTATAGTTAGTCTTACCTGCAAGTGCCTTCTTTCTGGCATAAATCTGAACCATAGGCTTTGTCTCTAGAGGCTCCTGCTGCACAGGATCCAGAACAAGATAACGTTTCTCTTTAGCAATAGCTAAAACGTCAGCCAACACACATATTTCCTGTAGTGCACTCCTCATCTTGGTTCGTACTGAGTCCCACGGCCACAGTGAAGACTGAAAAGCATCTTTACTGTCTGTGTCAGATTTAGAATCTTCATTGGATTCTTCTTTTCTTATTTCTAGATCAGATAGCTTACTGAAGTCTATTTTTTGGGCATATTTTGCGAGGCTCTCGGAGAGTGTCAAAGGACTAAAAGCAAAAACATTAATAAAGAGGAATAGTATTAGTCACACATTTACTTACGGTTGATAAACCTCAGTTCCGTCAAAAGTGATTTCTTGAATTTGGTTTTCAATAGGCGCTTCTACCGATATATTCACACTGTAAGACATTTTGACAGATTCAACAGTGTACTAGATTAATAAATGAATTATATCATGAAACAAGTTCTTATATATGATAGTCAGGTAAAAATGAATGATAGGATACACCTAACATGTTAATATCTTCTCAGCTAGTTTTAGATAAAATACAACATAATATTTATTGTTTACTATTATTGTGAGCTGACAACTATATATAACCTAAAAGAGCCGAGTAAAAGAATGTCAAGGGATAAATGACATAACTGACAAATGACATTAATGACTTGTGACAGGCAGTGTTGTTATTTAGGAATTTTCAACTGTGCACAAACTATATACTGTGCGTTCCACTAAGCGCTCACAACGATTATGCTCACGACCGCAGTTTTTCCCGTTCTCCTTGCTTACGAGCGTTTACTGTTGTAAACAGTGGAATGGATTATGGAACGTTTTGGGCGTTGATATAAACATTGCAAATGGCGAGGTTGAAAAAATGAAGTAGGTAGAAGTTTCAATGAGGTTACGTAAACCTTAACAATAAGTTTCAATGATTGCAAGCTGACTTTATTTATATTAAAAAAGAAGTATATATTATTGAACAAATTGAATTTGAATGTAATCAAAATGTCTTTTATTGCAATCGAAGATTTGTAGATGCTTCGCAATAGTGCTCCGGAAACTAGTACAGATGGAGAGTGAAAGGCAACTTTGAGTTATTTTAATTTCTAAAATAAAAATCATTGCTGCGGGGCGACTTCATTGATTCCAGTGGTGCATTTGCTTTTTCAGCTGCAAGAAAACCCGGAAAAATTATGAAAAATGAAGATTAAATCTTCTTATGTTTTTATACCACTTACATTTGTAACTGACATTACTACAATTTCGTCCTAACAGGACAAACTGACAACATACGTTCCGACTACTTCTCATTTCCTCTCATACAACTAAAGATTGACGTATTAGCACAGAATACCTTACATAAGAGACACTCATGTGGCGGAAATTTGATGTTTAGAGGTCAAGTTTTTGTGAACTATATTCTGTTTCCGAGGTGTTTAATGTAATTTATAGCAGTGAATTTAAGTTATTTGATACTTATCAAACTTCAATCAAACTAGTTTATTCACCATATTCGAATTCACTAACCCTCGACGAAATTTTTAGGTTGACAGTTGACGATCATGGTTTCTGTTCCGTGCTGAGCATAAGCGCGTTCTTCTCCTAAGATATAATTATGAGTTCTGTGTTATGTCGGTGGTTCTGTGATAAAGTGGCATCAACCAATCGGACAACTAGACTTGAAGCAAATTTTTAAAATCAACAGGAAAATTCTGATAGACTGCTCCAACCAATGGAAACGCGCGAATATTTCGAATAGACCAATTGATAAATCTACCGGATCAATCGGTGGACTTACCGATGAATTTGAGAACTCATCTTTACCTATAAACGTCTTGGTAAAAAAAATAAATTTTTTTGATGAAAACAGTTGTAGTAGAATAATCCGTGGATAAACGAGATATGGGAATAAACAACTAATACAGTTTCTTTTGAATACATTAAAAGATGTTGGGTGTTCACGAAGCAGTTAGGAGAAGAAAATGCGTGTTTTTGATACTCATTATTTGGTTGTTTTGAGTTTTAATATAAATTTTTATTCTTCTGTGTCGTGGTAACTATATACTGATCGATAGAGAATTTTGAACTCTATGGAAAACGGGTAGTGATTCAAATGACGCTTATTTCGATTGAATTGAATATCTATTCACTGAGATATTATAGTTTGAAGTACTCATAAAAACGGACAAAACTTTTGAAAAAGCTGATACCTGTCCTTCAATAGATTTTAAATTTGATAATACCTATTTTAGACAATGAAAGTTCGAACTTTGCTCAGCAAAATTATTGCCAAATCATTCACAGAGGACTTATATTCTAACTGTTAAATATTCATTGACAGATAGATATATGTTTATAAATACAAAAAATGTTAAAAATATATAAAATGTTTAAAGACTATATAGTATTCACAAAAATACAGTGGAGATTAAAAATAACAGACAAAAAAACAATCAAAGAATATCAAAGATAAGAAAAAATATACATATCGTAATACATCGTAGTATACCTATAAAGACTAGAATTTGTATACAAAATACTCTTCCAAACTGTTGTTTGGAAGTTGAAGTGGGCAGTGGAAAAGCAAGTATTTTATCGCTACGCGTAGACCTTTCTGTATGACTTTCAAACTTTTCTTTAAGTTTGCGACGTAATCAGACAGTCTCTAGAATGAATATTTCGAATATTGCTAATATTTTATTTCTAAAGTAAAGTGGCCAACATGAGTCACGCATCTTCAATTTGGATATTATTCTCAAAGCTCTTTTCTGGATAACGAATATACTCTGCAATAATATCTGGCTACCTGAGCCCCAGAAAGGAATTCCGTACAGGAGATGACTCTCCATGAATGAATAGTAGATATGCATTTATTGCTGCTGATATGACATTTATGGCAAAGCAACCGGAAGATAATTTTTTTAAAGCAGTTATTTGCGTATCGAATTTTAAATTATTGTCAGTGACATGTAACAAGAAATTTAGTTACAGGCTTACTTTCAATCATGTGTTCACCTAGTATTACTTGTTGTAATTCCCACTTGAATGTCATCAGATTTGTTTTAGAAACATTTAGCGATAGTATATTCGATTCTCACTATTTTTTATAGTTTCTGAATCAGTGGACAGACCGAGTCAAAGTATCAGGATCTTTATTATGCCAAAATACCGTAGTGTCATCCGCCAACAAGGTAAATGCTCCAGATACTGTTAATATGTCTAGCATCTTGAAGTGTGGTCTACATGTTGATCTATGAGGTAGTTTTAACATACAGCGAATTATCCTTTTTTGAGTTTTGAAGATTTTATATGACTGTGTGGATGATCCCCAGAAAATAATTCCGTATTGAATAATAGATTGAATATGCGCATAATAGTATATCTTCAGACTATCTAATGATACTTGATCTCTTACTGTACGGATTAGACCTACTGTAGTACCCAGTCTAGAGTTAGGTTTGTTTAGATGGATGTCCCATGTAAGATTATTTTCCACTGTGACCCCTAAGAATTTAATATCACTTATTTCAGGAATAGATTTGTTAAGCAATTTGGCATATATCGATTCTAGCCTATGGGATTTGCTGAATGTTATAAGCCCTATTTTTCCTGTATTCAATTTTATGTCATTTTCCTTGCACCAATCATTCATTTTTTGAGCTGCTTGGGATAATTGTCTGGAGAAGGTAGACGAGGCTTCGGCTGACACTATAACCGATGTATCATCTGCAAACTGGTATACTAGTCCAGGGTCGAGTGAATTTGAGAGATAATTTGCATATACTAGGAAAAGAATTGGGCCCAGGATAGACCTCTGTGGTACTCCTTGTGTAATGGGGTTTTTAGTGGAAAGAGCCGACGAATTATTTTGAGAAACGTCCACTATTTGTGATCTTCCGGATAAGTAAGAGGTGATGAGATCATGTGCTTTGCCTCTAATACCATATCCTTCTAATTTATTTAGTAGAATCCTGTGATTCACCATATCGTGTATATAGTAAGAATAAAATTGGGCCTAGGACTGACCGCTGAGGAACTCCGCCTACAATTTTTTCCGTATTAAAAGTGTTGTTGCTCAATGTTATTTTTAGACTTCTACCAGTAATATAACATCTGAACCATTCTGAGGCTGTTCCCCGGATTCCATATTGGAAGAGTTTTTGCAGCAGGATTTCATGTTCCACGCAATCAAAATGCCTTAGAAAGGTCCAGAAATATTGCCGCCACTTCTTTATCATTTAAGGTCGTGTAGACGTTTTCGAGTTAATGAAAGATGGCATTGTTCGTGTCTTTTTGGTATGTGTGTTTTTCCAAGAAACCCACTATCCTACTTTTGACTAGTTTTTCAATGATTTTTGATAACGTTGATAAAATTGAGATATATCAAATCTCCTATTTCTAGTTTATTTTCGTTATAGATTAGCTTTTGAACTTTATCGCCTAGTACACCTTGGTTACCAACAATTACCTTTCTCATGTTTTTTTAAATAGATCTTCTTTGAATCTTCAAAAACTATCTGAAAAATTTCTGGTTGACACCTAGAATATCTCTCCGCCCGCATCAAAAGAACAATGAATAAAGGAGCAATTTCTCCACCAGTGTATAAAACTTTACAACGTAAAAGGTTGGTGAGATTGCAAATGGAGAGCATCAATCTTATTCCTCAGCCTCGAGCTTTTTTCTGTTGAAGTACACAAATACGAACGATAAATCAATGTGGAAGACCTGTCACTGGTTAGGAAGCCACACAGTGGTGCTCTAGAGTTTCACTTGTTTCCGATACTTTTTCCATTTTCCATTCGCCGACGAAACAGAGGGAATTTTTCACGATACCCATGGACGTACACAACTTTTTTATACCCCTTTGGTTAGCTGAATTTTGCAGAATAGTTGGTGAATAACAATGATTTCTTTTTTTCTTGAAACAATTCATGATTGTATAGAAATTCTAATTTTCACTCAAATTCTTAGTTCTGAAAGGTAAATAATTAGTTCAAAAACATATTTATGTATACCACATATTCACACATACTTTTGAAAACGCCGTCTGTTAAAAAATAAGGTGAGGTTTTTTTGTTTCTTTAAAGTATTTATTCATTTAACAACTTCGATTTTGTCCCCTTCAAAGTAGTCCCCTTCAGATATAATTTTTTCAAGTACAATACACAAGCACTACACGAAAATTCTTAAGGCGCTCTCAGAGCGGTGCCTACGCCTGTGTGAAAGTAGCGATTCATATTGGATTTGAATCGCTGGCGATTAAATCCATTTGGAAAAACTTTCTCCACATAAACACAGTTCTCCAGATGAAGAGTTCTTCAACCGTGAAGTTCGAGGTGTACTGAGTTGAACCTCAAAACGATGAGCAGCCACAGTCCGTCGCGTATATCGGGTATGTACCCCCCTTGGTGGAATCAAATGTGCCAAGTCACTTCAACACCTTGAACATTTACACTTTTTTTTGAAAAGTCCAAATAAGTTGGTGACCCATTTAGGTAGGCTTACCATAAATTAAGACCACTAATCCAAGACTTCTTTTTTAATTGCTGGAAGCCAATCCCGAACAATCCCGGTCATTTGTAAATACGCCTAAGGGAAAAATCATAATTGTATAATGATTAAAAAACATC